GCTGTACAAAATGGACTGCAGCAAAGTTTCCTGGAAATGTAATTTAACACTCCAGAGTCAATTCCCTTTCTCTCTGATATAATGTTTAATGCCATATCTTTCAAGTTTCTGAACCAGACCAACTACATTAATCATCTTACTGCTGCTGTTGTTTTTCTTTTCTTTCTTTTTTTGGAGGGGGTGGGAGAGAAAGGCTACTCAAACCGTATTTGTAATTGTGTCTGTTTCATTTGGAATACTTTAGCAACCCAGCTCAAGATCAGTTCAGTATCAAAAAGGAAAGCACAGACATGATATATGTGCTTATAAAAAATGGGACATCTTCTAAAAAAGGAGGTGTGGGGACACTTTCTCAAGTTCATTCTTGAAATTCACATTTCTTTTAACTTTTTATTGACCTCCCACTTTATATATTTGCAAAGCTCTGATATTCAGTATGTTTTTTTAAGGAAACATATGCATTGACAAATGCACTCACCCCCTCAGCCTGTATTATATAGTTTGCCATGACATTAGTTATAATGGCCTGTTTTTTATTAACTGAATTCAGGGACCCCTTTGGGGGCTGACCAGGGCATGTTAAATTATATAAATACTTTCAGTTAACAAAAATCCACTTGCTGCAACTTTCCTTATGAGGTTGTCTGAGACACCTTTTGGTTAACACATTTCATTTAAACTACCACCATCAGATTTGCTCTCCTAAACCTGAACATGTGGGTGTCCAGATTTACAGTATCTTAAAGGGGGAAAAACCATGCTAGGTCTACTCTCCTACAGTAAGCAAGTACTGTTTTGGGCAGGACAGGCAGATAAGACAGTGATCAAATAACCAACTCCAGATTTTTTCAAACACCTCCAGGTTTCTACTTAAAGAGAATGCATTAAAGGAATCAAGATAAAGGAGCGAGAGATACCAGAAACTTCATAAAAAGAAAATAAATGTTTTATTTTCCCTCCATTCATTCAGTGACTAGCATGAAGCACCACCATCCTCATGCAAGGAGATTCCTAGGACCCATAGAGACTGCATGAGCCAGCCAAAGTCCTTTGAGCAGTGGCCACAAGCACTTGCTCAAGCTATCTACTCTGTGCTTCAGAGTGCTTAGTGCAGAAGGACTATGATTTGGTGAGGAGAAAACCAGTATCAAATCAAACAGAGCCTGGGTCTTACCAGTTCCAACATGTAGCTGGATGACAATATTTAGCATCTTCCTTAGTTTATGCTTTAGAAGGTGTAAATTGGGAAGTCTATTTCTTTGATTCTTGTCAGACTGGTTAAGCACAGAGCAAAAACATCCTTGGCTGTATTAAAGCAAAGAAAAGTGCCTATGTCCTTGTTTGCTCTCATGAAAGGAAAGCTTTTAGTAGATAAAGTATTCTTTAAAAGACAGAAGGTTGGAGCTTTGGGTTTTTGTCACATCAGGGCTTGTGTAGCAATTAACAACTATTCTCTTCAGAAAAGGCTTACTATTGTCTGAAGATTTCTCTACCCCTTGGCCAGACCTACTTTAAATTATTGCTAATATGCTAAGGACAGTAAAAACACACATTCTAATTATGAAGACTTGTCCAATTTTTATTTCTAAATTACAAATCAGTACTTTTTCGGGAAGCTATGGATACAATCCACAAGACTGCAGATGAAAATAAAACGTAATGACGTAATAAGTGATCAACATGGATGAATGAGTCTAAGGATGAATAGGAAATGTACCATCCCTAAATGTATGCAAGAGATTGCACATATCAGTCCAAGTGCTTTCACTTGATCATTTGCAATACGTATGATTCCTAGACACGGAACTGGTCCCAAAGTTCTAATCTCATCTAATCAAACTCCTACCCCACTCAAGGTCAATGCCATTTTCTGAACCATAATTCCAGCTTTTTCCTTTTAGGTACACAGTTACTGTGCATGCACATATACCCCAAAATATGCTAAGTATATTTGGTGCTGCCCTTAAAGAATGGAAGGGCAGCACCTATTTTGCTTCATTTCTCTTTTTTACAATTACATAAATCATCATCATCATATATTTTAATATTTTATTATGATAACTTATGTAAGTTTTGCAATGCATTCAAAATCTGAGATCAACAGAATGTCCTTTTGAAGATGAGGAAATAAATCAATACTCCAGAAAGTGGTCAGTTGGATACAAATGTACAATTGGATTTCCAATTGTAGAAAATCCTTGACTGGGCAGAATCTTGATTATTTTCCTTAGTAAGGACTGTAATATTATCCATTTTATAGCACTCTCTTTTTTTTTATACAATCTTTGCCCCACATTGCATTTATGGTACTATTCTTGCTGTACACAGTGATCATGTAACTTTGTCTGCATGTTCTTTTTAATGGTTTGGATCACTTTACACGACCCTCTCAAATGGGACCTACATGAAACAGTAGATCTAAGTTCTAATCAGAATAGACGATTGCAATTAATCATCCTAAATTAGTTTTGCGCATTAACTTCAATGGATTTACTCTGAGTCGGCCTACAACTCACAATTGGCTGCAACTCACAGACTCTAAATTCAGCCCCCCCCCTAATATATATAACTGATTAAATAAAGAGTCTACACAGGCTCAAGATAGAACTCAGGAATTTAGAAACAGCGACTACCAGAAGCAGGAAGACACCCTGCATGTACATTTGCCACAAGGGTTGTTTTTGCTCTCTGCATTTTTCTTGAAGCTGTGGAAAAATAATATCCACTGTCTCCCTAGAAGGTAAAAAACCATTTTGGGATTCAGGAAGGGTATCCGGATATAGTTAGATCAACCCCTGTATAAAATTGGCTACCCGGAAAAATTTATGAACATCCGGCTCCTCCACAATAATATGACGGCAACAACTGCAGATAACAATGGCTCTCAAAGTGAACCATTCACAGTGGGGTCAGGCATTAAACAGGGATGTGTTATTGCCCCAACTCTATTTATTATTTTCATCACCATGATCCTACACACTGTCAAAGGGAAACTTCCCACCAGGGTAGAAATCATATATTGAACAGATGGAAAGCTCTTCAATTTGAGTAGGCTGAAAGCAAAGAATAAGGTTACCATAACTTCCGTCATAGAGCTTCAATATGCTGATAACGTAGTGTGTGCACACTCAGAGGATGACCTCCAAACTATCCTAAATATCTTTGTAGTAGCTTACAGAAAGCTTAGCCTATTGCTCAATATCCAAAAAAACCACAAAGTGCTGCACCAACAAGCACAAAACAGCCCCTCCGTAATGCCACAAATCCAACTTAACATTGGAAAATGTTGATCATTTTTCCTACTTAGGCAGTTACAGTATCTTTCCACAAGGGCCGACACTGATGCTGAAATCCAGCATCACCTGAGCTGTGCTAGTGCAGCTTTCTCCCAATTGAAGCATAGAGTGAGGATCAGGACATTCACAGAGAAACCAAAATGCTTATTCGCAAAGCTATTGTACTACCAACTTTACTGTGAAACATGGACCACTTATAAACTTATAAACGCCATCTCCAACTCCTCTAAAGATTCCATCAATGGTGTCTCTGAAAATTTTTACATATCACTTGGAAAAATATGCAAACTAATGTCAGTGTACTGGAAAAAAGCAAAGATCACTTGTGTCAATGCAATGATTCCTCATCATCAACTTTGTTGGACTGGTCATGCTGTCCAGATGCCTGATTATCATCTTCCAAAGCAACTACTCTATTCCCAACTTAAGAATGGTAAGTGTAATGCCAGTGGACAACAAAAGAGGTTTAAAGTCGCTCTCAAGGCAAATCTTTAAAAATGTAGTATAAACACCGACAACTGGGAAACACTGAGCTACGAGTGCTGCAATTGGAGAACAGCCTTCACCAAAGGCGTCATGGACTTTGAAGATGCACAAACTCAGGACCAAATGGAGAAACGAGCTAAGAGGAAGGCACATTTGGCAAACGTTCACCATGATCAACTCCCACCCGAAAACCTATGTCTCCACTGTGGAAGGATGTGCGGATCCAGAATTGGCCTCCATAGTCACTTACACTGTTAGGACCACATTCATGGAAGACAATCTTACTTGGCTATGAGTGTTCACCAAAGAAGAAGAAGACATTTGACACAATTCCTGGCAGATGTAACTTTGCAGAGTAAACTTTGTGTTGAAATCAAGTATTCTGAAGAGCACTTTTAACAGGAAACACATGACATCTTTATTAATGAGACAAAACCAATGTGGGTAGCAATGGTGCCAGATCCAACGAACATAGATCACAGCCCTGACCTTTGAAAACCACAGTCTGGTTTTCAGTTAGTTCAGGTGCAGCATTATCCTGTGTCCAAAACAAGTTTTATAAGGATCATAATGATGTATTTTGCAGGACTGCTGAGACATCCTGCTTAGAAAGTGCATGGAGTGCAGGCAGCCAGTTCCCTGCTTTCAAACACAGACAATAGCTTACATTACATATTTCAGCTACATTCCCAAGAGAACAATATAAAACATTATTCAGACCATTACACATACCCCTTAGTCTTATTTCTGAAATGCACAATAAAATGTACCTTGTCCGCTTTGCCGTACCACACACAACACCCCACCCCAATTCTCTATAGGCCTTTTGGTGCTACGCAGCTAGAAAAAAACTGATTTACTTTCATAATTCTGCTCTTAAAATGCTAGTGATAAAGAACCATAAATACCACAAATTTACTGCAAACCCTGGATAAGTATACCTGACAGACGCACTGAAGTTTGATAACTTTCTGTTTATTTGGTGTTATGATTTACATCACTGATAAGGCAATTAAATTTATTTTATGCATTAGCAGATGGTGAAGTAGGAACTTCCTTTTGTTCCCTGTGTAAAGTTATTTGTATTTACTACCTGTATCAGCCTGCCCAGGTCCTTAGATCAGAACGGACATCCAGCCTCTTGCCGTTTCACCACCACGTGAAGTTAACTAGGTGGTAATAAGGGATAGGATTTTCTCTGTGGTGGTGCTCCCAATTATGGAATGGCCTGGAAGAGCAACTGGCACTAACACCTGCCTGTTTGCCCAGGCAATCATGGGATGCAAGTCTGCTGCTGCAATTGATATGCTGGATTTTTTATTGCATTATGACCTGGTATTCTTTTGTGTGGATTGCTGTATCCCACCCTGGAATCAACTGATGAAGAGCAGGTAATAAATAAACACAATAAACACAATTATGTTTGTATCATAATTGTATTGGTTTGTGACCATACAGATTAATTAATTCATTCAAATGGGTATAAAATCTGATTTCAGAAGATAGCTCAGTTGGTTAGAGCATGGTGCTGATAATGCCAAGGTTGCATGTTTGATTTCTGTATGGGGCAGCTGCATATTCCTGCATTGCAAGGGTGTTGGAGTAGATGATCCTCAGGGTCCCTTCCAACTCTACAGTTATATGATTCTATAGTCCACACTATGAATCATTAACACACTTAAGAGTAGAGGCTATACATTACAGCCATCAATTCCCATGGATAATTTTCACTCCCAGCCCCAATTGTTGTTGGCACCAAAACACAGTGAATTCCCCAGTCCATTCTGATTGCCATGAATGATACGGAATGAGGGTCATGGGTACATGCACTATGCAAATGCCCCCAATGTACATAATGATTGGTGCAGTTATTGTCAAGAAGTTTATAAATGGAAAATTCATTATTCTATCCTCACTTGGGTGATTGCCATGAAAAGCAGTCTGAATTGGTAGAAAGTTAACAATGAATATACTACCTCACCTTACAGGATTCCTGTGATTTGGCTATATTTATCAGACCCAAATACTGTTCATTTGGCTATCATTGCATTTGCAAATGAACAGTCATCACATTTATTTCTGACACACAAACACAGTGTTTCCAGCAATACTGCTACAAGTGCCGCATAAGGGGATGTGTCAGCATAATGCCAGCTATATCTGACAATCTGTTCAAGCAGCTGGAGCCTTGTTTTCAATACTGTGGCATAACCAAATCCTGATGCCATTCCACATTATCCCAGCTCTGCACGTTGCTGACTAAAGTGCAGAGATGAGACTGCAAACCTTATAACATGACAGAAAATAACAATTATACACACACACACTTTTGTGTGCTGTGAAAAGTGCATTTATTCACATCCAAACTACCGTAACTCTCTCTTTCCAATAATAATTCCAGTAATATTATCATCTGTCCAGCAGGAAGGATGCCCTGAACCACTAAACGCTTAATAAACATCTATCACCGTACATCAATGTCCATAAAGACTACCATCCTGGCATTTGGAAAACAACTACAAGACAAAACCATTTTCAGCATCAATCTCTGTAGTGAAGAGACTGACATAAACTATTGAAAGGATTTTGATAAGCTAATCTCTATTTTATGACCAATATTCACATCGTTTATTTCAAGTGCTTACTTTAGAAACCTGGAGCAAAATGATGCTTGGGGAATTGCCCAGCCACAATTTGTATACATTTTTTTTCACATCTGATCTAATGAGGTAGGCATGCAGGAAGACACCTTTGTGATGTGTCATCTAATTCCCGATTCTCTGTGGGACAGCAAGCCCAAAGGAGGTGGTGGCCATCTCCCTGTTCTGGCCTGGTGTGGCAGGATTCCTGGGAGCCTCTGTGGTAACACAAGACTTCCAGGGAAGGCAGGGCTTCTTGGATATAAAAGGGAGCCCCAAACATGAGACGAGGCTTGTTCATATCAAGGCTTTTCCACTCACCACACTTCCTTCAGTCTCTCACTGAGAGCATTGCTGGTCACTAGTTGACAGGGCCAGAATGTTATTTTGCTCATACATGATTGGCCATCAGAAGGGCTGAACAAGTGGTTATGACTTTGGAAAGTATACATGCATTACTGGGGTGGTTTGTCCATCTTTGGTCCCTCCACAAAACTCAGCTCTCACCTGTGGCTCCTAGAAGATGTCAACATGTGACTGGCTAGCTAAACTAGGTGAAGGTAGCCAATGGGACTCAAACCCTCAATGGGGTAGCCGATGGAACTTAAACCCTGCATGCAAAGACAGGTTCTAGTAGACTGAGCAAACGAGACCAATAGTGGGTCCAACGGTCAAGAAAGCAGTTTCTGCACATGCTATAGAGGGAAGTGATGGGCAGATGGCAGGTAGCTCATCTAGGGGAAGGAAAACTCTGGTGCTAAACCTCTGATGCCTTGTGGGATATCTCCGAGAGAAGAAAAGGCAAAGGAGGTAGCCCTAAACAAATCTGGAGTGCAGTCCCTAAGACAGTTGGATAACAACTTGTACGCCTTCTTCTGGCAACTCTTGCAGCGAAGCTGGTGCCCAGTGTATTGCTCTGCTTTTCTTTGGACCACATCAGCAAGGCCAAGAGTGTGGGCTTGTCATCTAAGCAGCCCAGGACCTGCATTAACACTACCCAGGCTTGCACCGCAGGGAGGTCACTGTGGTGCTGCTAACACAGTTGTTTTACTTCACCCCCAGAAGTTCACTCCATTGAGTCTCAAGACAGATTGATGCCAACAACAACCTATGTTCCATCAAGGGGCTCTTTACTTTATGTTGCAGCCTAAAACACGGTTGGGGGATCTGTCAACAACAACAACAACAACAACAACAACAACAACTGAAAATAACATACAGAAATGCATCTTAATCAGGAAAATGCTTTGCAAAAATAGGCAAAATAGCATTTAAATTTGTAAATTAGGATAAATCCATACTAAAAAGGTGATGAATTTTCAAGAGGATTACACACACTCACACTGATATGTAAATGTGGAGAACTGCACTTAAAAGTGAAAAAAATGAGAAACTGAGGGAAACAGAAATTAAGACAGATTCACCCATCCCTTGCAACATAACAAGAGCATGGTTAACATTCCTGGCAATGTTATCATTGTAGTGGATTAAAATTCCCTGCGGTAAAGGCAGGGCTTGCAATAATCCTGTTAACTATGTGAGGCGTGTGCAATGAAGCAAATAAAAAGTCTATATAATGGGGTCTTGTATCGAAGGCAAATTTATAGCTCCAGTGAAAGCAATATCAATCTTATTATATAAGGATGGCAATCATAAATGTTCATTAGCTTGGGTGACAAAAGAAATGTTAGTGGTGGGGGAAGGATTTCCTTTTAATTTCTTACTCCAGGGAGAGATACACTAATAGATAAAGGATCAAAATGTTCTGATTTTCAAGTGGGAGAAGAAGGCATCCTTCATTTGTTTCTGCAAGGTTATTGGACCAGATTTCATAAAATGCTGGCACTGAAATAAACGAGAAAGCCATTGATCACACATTACTTGTGGGGAACTGGTTGTTTTCTCTTTTGTGAAAGAGATAAGGACACAACTATTAACTCTGAAAACAAATGAAACATGTTGGTACATAATCAAGATTTCAGTTGGAGAAACACAGAAGGTTTTAATCGGAGTCCCCTTGGGACCAAGTTAAAACAATCCCTTTTCTCAGACATCACCTTTTTTTCTCTTGTTGACATTCTTTCTGGTGCTTGTCTGCACTAACCACTTTTTGTAGGGAACAGCATAAAGAATAGTCTTCTTCAACTGTTCATATCCCATATAAAGTAAAAAGGCAAGGGAGGACCCAGCTGCAATGAGTGCACAAGCTCTGCCATCTGCCACCATTCCACTTGCCCTTCACAAGCTGGAGGGCAACTGTCTGAAGCAGACAGCTAACTATATTCATGGAGGCTCCCCACACATTTTAGAACCTTGTAAAATCAGGTGAAACTGGCCACACAGTTGGTTGTGCAAAGAGAAGCAGTTTTGGAACCAGCAGAATGCCCTCACCTTATGAAATCTCATCCGATGACTGCATTGACCATCATAAAGAAACAGCATCCAGCCTACCCCTTATATTGGCAAAAATGTCAAAGCAACCTAGGTAGCTATCACCCCATAAATGAGCCCCATAAGGTAGTTATTCTCCAGGTGGTCCAAGAATGAGAGGAGGAGAGAGACGGCAATGTCTGCTGGCCCCACCTTCAAAATCCTAACGCTTACAGATCTCCATGTGTTGGGTGGTGGGTCTCAAGAGAAAGGTTGAGGCTAGCATGTATGACCCTGTTCTCCATGCCATGCCACACATTCTTGGAACACATGGAGAATACCTTCTGCATACAGCTAAAGTTTGAATACAAATGACATGAAGGAACAGCTTTCCTCCTCCACTGGCTCACTCTTTCCTCTAGTGTGGATTCCAGGCTCAAAAATTTAGAGGCTTAGTTTGTTACATCCTAGGAAGGTATAGTGAGCATTTTATAGCATGTTGGGGAATTTCCTGCTCCCTATACAAAAGGTTATACTCTTCAAGAGGCTACTAAAGTAGGCATTGTTAATACAAACACAATTTTGTTAACTGACCCTTTCAGGAACTCACCACTGCTGTTATTATAGAGAAGTACATATTATATTAGACTGCAGTCAATGTTATGCTGAATTCCCAAAGAACTAACATTCATTATGGGGTGATTGCTCACCAATGCACAGTAAAATTTAATAACTGAAACAATCATGATCCAACACCTTGAATCTATATCTGCTCCTCTGTGAAAAGAGTGTCATACACGTTTTAATGTTCTGCCCTGCATTCTATCCGCTAGGGAGTATGCTAAAGGCATTTTTATCCTTGCCAGGCAATTATGTGCAGAAAGTCTGAATTCTCTTTGGTCAGCTTCCATAGATATTTCCCTTTACCAGCATTAAAATGACAATTTAGTTTGCTATTAATATACTTCAATTAGAAGCAGAGAGGCTAATAACCTCGTTGGGTTTTACCAAGATCAGAAATATTCTCATTTCACAGCCCACTGGTTCTTTAGAGGCAACTGAGGATTCCCCACAAGTGAAGCTAAAACACTTATTGAGCTAGCTTTGCATACTAGACGCACATTCTCCTGCACTTGAATACAACAGCTATGCTGCTTACACCTAATTTATGGATCAGCCAATACACAGAGGCTCAAACTGCACATGACATTAATCAAGTGGTGTTTTCCTCCTGACAGCTTTCTAAAAAAATATGTATTAATATACCTTGGGCCACTGACAATTAAGGTATTTAGTTTTGTGGGACCCACCTCTTACTTAATTTATATCATTTTATTCTGTTTGGAATAGCTTTTTGACATCCTGGGACCTTATGGTGAAGACAGGGTAAGAAATATTATAAATAAATAGTGAAACAGCTACCTAGGCTGTTATCTGTAACTGGAGACTGTCATGGAAGAGAGCAGGAGAGTATTTCCTCCTTCCTCTTTTCCCTCTCCAGTCCTGCCCCTCCTTGCAGCTGTTTTTAGCAACTTGCAAGAAAACATGGATGAACAGCTATTCATTTTCCCACATAGAACTAAAAACAGCTCAGTTATGCCAACCTTTCCTTCCCCAGGTCAGCCATTGGAGATTTAGATTTTTTTGAGGGAGGGCTGTTGTCAGGGAGCAACATTCCACCAGTTTATTTGTTTATTATTATTATTATTCCTTAGCACCCTGGTTCCAAAATGTAGCAGTTTATCTAGAAAGGTAAGTTCAGCTTAGTACTGCCTGTGCAGGATGAATTAAGTTGCAGTTTCCCCAATTCTCCTTTAATATAGAGGAGCCAGTGACTTCCACCTACTGTTGCTATTCATAGGGTGACCAGTTATGCATTCATAGAATCATAGAATCATAGAGTTGGAAGAGACCACAAGGGCCATCGAGTCCAACCCCCTGCCAAGCAAGAAACACCATCAGAGCACTCCTGACATATGGTTGTCAAGCCTCTGCTTAAAGACCTCCAAAGAAGGAGACTCCACCACACTCCTTGGCAGCAAATTCCACTGTCGAACACCTAATGTTTAGGTGGAATCTTCTTTCTTGTAGTTTGGATCCATTGCTCCGTGTCCGCTTCTCTGGAGCAGCAGAAAACAACCTTTCTCCCTCCTCTATGTGACATCCTTTTATATATTTGAACATGGCTATCATATCACCCCTTAACCTCCTCTTCTCCAGGCTAAACATGCCCAGCTCCCTTAGCCGTTCCTCATAAGGCATCGTTTCCTGGCCTTTGACCATTTTGGTTGCCCTCCTCTGGACACGTTCCAGTTTGTCAGTGTCCTTCTTGAACTGTGGTGCCCAGAACTGGACACAGTACTCCAGGTGAGGTCTGACCAGAGCAGAATACAGTGGCACTATTACTTCCCTTGATCTAGATGCTATACTCCTATTGATGCAGCCCAGAATAGCATTGGCTTTTTTAGCTGCCGCGTCACACTGTTGGCTCATGTCAAGTTTGTGGTCAACCAAGACTCCTAGATCCTTTTCACATGTACTGCTCTCAAGCCAGGTGTCACCCATCTTGTATTTGTGCCTCTCATTTTTTTGCCCAAGTGCAATACTTTACATTTCTCCCTGTTAAAATTCATCTTGTTTGTTTTGGCCCAGTTCTCTAATCTGTCAAGGTCGTTTTGAAGTGTGATCCTGTCCTCTGGATCATCTCTATTGGTGATCACAGCATTCCTTTCTAGGTGCTCACAGACTGTTTGCTTAATGATCTGCTCCAGATTCTTCCCTGGTATTGATGTCAGACTGACTGGGCGGTAATTATTTGGGTCCTCTCTTTTCCCCTTTTTGAAAATAGGGACAACATTTGCCCTCCTCCAGTCTGCCGGGACTTCGCCTGTTCTCCAGGAATTCTCAAAGATGACTGCCAGTGGTTTTGAGATCACATCTGCCAGTTCTTTTAATACTCTTGGATGCAGTTCATCTGGCCCTGGAGACTTGAATACATCTAGACTAGCCAAGTATTCTTGTACTATCTCCTTAGTTATTCTGGGCTGTGTTTCCTCTGCTGAATCATTTGCTCCAAATTCTTCAGGTCAGGCATTGTTTTCTTTATCGGAGAAGACTGAGGCAAAGAAGGCATTGAGGAGTTCAGCCCTTTCTGTGTCCCCTGTTTGCATTTCACCATCTTCTCCTCTGAGTGCCAGTGTGGTGTAGTGGTTAAGAGCGGTAGTCTCGTAATCTGGGGAACCGGGTTTGAGTCTCCGCTCCTCCACATGCAGCTGCTGGGTGACCATGGGCCAGTCACACTTCTTTGAAGTCTCTCAGCCCCACTCACCTCACAAAGTGTTTGTTGTGGGGGAGGAAGGGAAAGGAGAATGTTAGCCGCTTTGAGACTCCTTAAAGGGAGTGAAAGGCGGGATATCAAATCCAAACTCTTCTTCTTCTTCTTCTTCTTCTTCTTCTTCTTCTTCTTCTTCTTCTGAGTGACCCCACTGTTTCTTTGTTCTTCCTTTTGCTACGAACATACCCATAAAAGCCTTTTTTGTTGCTTTTAACCTCTCTAGCAAGCCTGAGTTCATTCTGTGCTTTAGCTTTTCTGACTTTGTGTCTACACGTGCTGGCTATTTGTTTGAATTCCTCTTTGGTGGTTTCCCCCTTTTCCATTTTTGGTCACATCCTTTTTTAATCTTAACTCAGTTAAAAGTTCTTTAGATAGCCATCCTGGCTTCTTTAGGCACCTTCCATGTTTCCATCTCATTGGTATTGCCTGAAGTTGTGCTTTTACTATCTCCCTCTTAACAAACTCCCAGCCATCATGAACTCCCTTTCCTTTTACTATTACTGTCCATGGGATCTCACCCAGCACTTCCCTAAGTTTTATGAAGTCGGCTTTCTTAAAGTCAAGAAATTGAGTCCTAGTATGCTTGGCTGCTCCTTTCCGCTGTATAGTAAACTTCAGAAGAGCATGATCACTCGCGCCTAATGATCCTTCCACTTCTACCCCACTAACCAGGTCATCAACACTGGTTAGGACCAGATCTAAAATGGCTGTTCCTCTTGTTGCTTCTCCCACTTTCTGGACAATGAAGTTGTCTGCAACACCAGTGAGGAATCTGTTTGACCTTATGCTCTTGGCTGAGTTTGACATCCAACAAATATCCGGGTAATTGAAGTCCCCCATTACTACTATCTCCCTTCCTTTTGCATGCTTGGCCATCTGTTCCAGGAAGGCATCATCTATGTCCTCCGTTTGGCTTGGGGATCTATAGTAAACTCCCACAATGAGGTCACTGTTATTCTTCTCTCCCTTAATTTTGACCCAAATGCTCTCACTTTGGCTTTGAGGTTCTAAATCTTGGATCTCTTCACAGGTATACACATCCCTGACATATAACGCCACTCCTCCTCCTTTCTTGTCTGGTCTGTTTCTCTGAAATAGATTGTATCCCTCCATTATTACATTCCAATCGTGGGACTTATCCCACCAGGTTTCAGTGATGCCTATTATGTCATATTTAGTTTGCTGTACCAAGAGCTCAAGCTCATCTTGTTTATTTCCCATGCTTTGCACATTAGTGTACAGACATTGAAGTCCATTAAAACTTTGTCAAAAAGAGGTCAAAATAATTTGCATGAAATTTGCATATGGCAATTTGGATGTATAGGTGCAAATTTAGAAATGACTGCTACAATTTAGATGGAAATAGAAATAATCTCACCATAGTGGGGAAGATACCAGGTGACTCGTGACCAACTGCTGCTAACTGTTGATGGGCAAGTTCAAGGCTTCTGTTTCCCTCTTTTGCTCCATTTACCCCTGCCACTGCTTCTCTGCTCTTTCCCCCCATGCAATATTTTATATTGCAAGATTTAAGTGTCATGCATACAGCTTGTTGTTGTTGTTTAGTCGTTTAGTCATGTCCGACTCTTCGTGACCCCATGGACCAGAGCACGCCAGGCACTTCTGTCTTCCACTGCCTCCCGCAGTTTGGTCAAACTCATGCTGGTAGCTTCGAGAACACTATCCAACTATATCGTCCTCTGTCGTCCCGTTCTCCTTGTGCCCTCATGCATACAGCTAGTGCAACATAAATACGAACAATTCAAGACAAACATATTTCCCCCAGCAGAGGCTGCTGAAGAATTATTTGCAGCTATTACCAATTCGGAAGCCAGGCAAGGAGGTAGCCATGTCCTCACTTGACAACCATAACAGAATTGTGAACATTCTGTGACCTGAACCCCTCTGCGGAGCTCAGCAGCACCTCTTAGAAGTCTCTGTGGCCAACAAAATTGCGGCAGGATTGCACCAGTGCTCATCTATGCAACCACATTTGCACTACTATTGGGATTTCAACAAGCAACACACGTGTTATAGCAAACAGCTAGGAACATATGGAGTACTCAGCATAGCTTTAAACAATAAACAACAGTGGTTTTAAAAACCAACAATGATGTTCACCAGTGGCCCCACCAGTGGCCCCACCATGAAAGCAGCACACACTTTACAGTAGCACACATGGCTCTAGGAGGGATGTTTTCTTTTTAAAAAAATGGGATTCTTGTTTGAAAGATTCCCACTGATTTTTTTTAGTATCCAAAATCTTATTTCCACCACTAACTTAAACTCCAAGGTATAGCATTAACTATGACCAATCAAGTTCCTTTGCATCAACATTTGCACCCATTGACACACACAAACGGCTCTTTGAGACTCCCTTTAAATACCCAGCCTTGAACTAGCAAAGCATAGGGACTTAGTAACCTAAATCCCCACAATAGTTTTAGCCCTGTTCCTTTCTTCCTTAGATACAGAAGGAAATCTTTGGAAAGCTAACGTTTTAAAGGTATGAAGCCAATTACTTTTAAGGTGTGAGTGTCTCCCCATAGTTGAAGAGGTTTTTATGCACCTCTTGCCGGACATCTGGATCTGTTTTCTCATTAGAAAGATTTTGCAATAACTAGACATTTTCCCTAACTGGAAAAGAGTATAGCAACAAGGATATAAGAGCTAATACTGAATTTGGGCAAACCTTTGACCCAGCCTTGAAGGAACATCTGAATCTAAATCTAAGTCCCTCTTTTTGCCATTTGCTTAATTTTTAGTGTCTCCCACTGTTCAGGGTGTGCTCTCAGGAGCAGAAAGTAATTCCGGAGACAGCAATGAAAGAAAAACTTTCTCTGGATCTAACAATTTCATATTCTGATCTTTATTCAATCTTTATTACTCGGATTTATAGCAATGCATAATTAAACACAATTCTCATTACAATGATGCAAAATTATAACCTGGTTATGATTCTGCAGGAATATTTATTTTATACACACACCACACAAGATCTAACTTAAAATTCATGTTTGAAAATATATTTTCATTTAATGGAGGAAACCAATATACAATAATTTGACACAGGTACCCCCAAATAGGCATCTTTTAGAGATCTATAGTATTTAGTACAAATGAAAATAGGGCCCTAGGTTGGAGTTGTTCATAACACTGTGGGTCAGCTTAGAGTCTGCAGCAATTAATCTTTAAAAGACTGCACACTTCCATACCTTACCATTTATGGTAACAGAAATCTCATAATAAGTGAGCTAAGCTAAAAGTCCAGTCCTAGCAATCAGGGCAAGGAAGTTTCGTGTAATGTAGTTTTTTCAGCTGTGGATTTGCTGCTGCTTGATTGCTAATATGGAACAGACTCGGGATATGTCAAAAACATTATGAACACAAGATCTTCTGGGCAAAGACTTTACCAATTCCCTGCAATTGTAAGTAATATTTCAGAGAAGTTTGTTTACCTGTTTGCAATCCTTTGCTGTAGTTTTGGTGTGTGAGTGTTTTAACAAAACAATTCTAAATTTCCTGAAGCATCCCCACCCCATCTAGATAGCAAACACATTTCAGAAATATTGCAGACAGCAATGGACCAAAAAAAATAAAAATCAATTTTTGAATAATGGACAAAAAAAGTCACAGGAGGAAATGTTTCATTGAATCCTTTGCTTATAAAAATTATATAGGGACCGGAAAAAAATAAAGTGAGTAATATATGCTAAGATCTTGTGAACTGCACAGTGTGAAGGCATCATTGTGAGGGTCAGTGCTCTAGCTTCATCTAAATGAATATCCTTTGCTTCAGCAACGAATTTTTCTCAAGGAATTCAGTGAATTTGATATGCCCATTCCTAGTTTATTTTTTCTGTGGATTTGTAGTCATTAATTTTTGGTTAAGAATACTAAATGGAAAAAGCCCTTTCATGGCTGGGAATGAACCAAGAGCCACTTTAGAAGTTTGTTTGCATTGTTTTGCTTTTCATTAAAAGACACATTTTTATTACATGTATCTTAGAGCTTTTGTGATAGAATGGGTTAAGAGATTAAATAAAGAAACCCAAAAAGTCACATGTGAATAATCCTGATAACATTTATTGCAGGAAATCATATCAAATTATAAAACAAAACAAAATAAAGCACTCAGTGGGAAAACTATGCAATACCAACCCAAAACAAGACAAACACAAAGAAAAGCCAAACCAGGAGGCAAAGAATAAAAGAAACAAAGTTTAAAAAAGCAGAAATGAAGTTTGCTGTCCTTCTTCAAAGTGTCTGAAAGTTACAAACACACCTTCATGGCTCCATGTTATTTTGTCTACAAAAGTAGTTGTTGTGTCTGTTTACAGAGGCCCTGTGTTATTCTTCCCATCTTGTGTCACTTAAGATTTATTTCTAGGACAGCATCACCAGACAGCACCTACAAGGTAACAATTCACATAACAAATTTATGGAGGAGAACTCAAGGGAGCGTGTACTGAGCTTTGATTCAAATAGGTTACAGAAATAAATTCTCCTTTATCCCTCATGTTATGACTGTAGGTCATGCATAACTTTGCTGACTTGAAGATTGACATGGCTTGTGAAGTCCCCACATCCCCAACAATCTGCAGCCCTATGAGGCTGACTTGCAGAAATTCAAGTACCGTATTTTTCGCCCTATAGGACACACCGGACCATAGGATGCACCTAGTTTTTTTGGGGGGGGGGAATAAAGGGAAAAAAATTATTTCCTCCCCCAGCCACAGATATCTGCCCGAAGCGTGGGGCGCTCTGATTCAGCGCGCCCCGCACTCCGGGCAGCAGGCTGCTATCCGCAGCCTAGGGAGCCCTGCGGAAACTCCCGCAGGGCTCCCTAGGCTGCGGATATCTGCCCGAAGTGTGGGGCGCTCTGCTTCAGCGTGCCCCGCGCTTCGGGCAAGCAGGCTGCCGATATCTGCCCAAAGTGCGGGGTGCTCTGCTTCAGCGCGCCCCGCGCTCCGTGCAGCAGGCTGCTATCCGCAGCCTAGGGAGCCCTGCGGGAACTCCCGCAGGCTCCCCAGGCTTGCTGATAGCTTCCTGAAGCGTGGAGAGCGAGAGGAGTCGGTGCGCACCGACCCCTCTCGCTCTCCATGCTTCAGCGAAAGCCTGCATTCGCCCCATAGGACACACACAGATTTCCCCTTCATTTTTGGAGGGGAAAAAGTGCATCCTATAGGGCGAAAACTATGGTAGTTCTTGCCCTACAACCAGAGACTTCACTGAAAAGAACTACCACAGGAAATGGATTTCCTCTGGAGAAAAATAGAACTCTGTATCTAAAAGTTAAAATCCACCATAGAAGCTGAACCCACAGGTCAAGCATAATATGAAGATTATCATGAGTAGCAGCAGAGTTCCATGATTACATAGAACATGCATAAACAGTAATTCCCAAACCCAGCAACATTCAGCAAGGCCACAAAAAGTTTAGGATTCAAAGTCTCTAGATGTAGCTTTGGAGCTTTTAGCATTGCTTCTTTTAACATTGCTTCAGCTGATTTACTAAAATAAAAGCTTGTCTCTAAGTCAGAACTGAAATTACCCCAATGTACATTTCGGGTTTTCATCACAGACATTATTCTTTCATTGCTTTAAATTCCACATTGTATTCATATGCACAAACACAAAGCTTGGGAATGAGGTTCTATTTAAACTCTCTGTTGACATTTTAAATTCAATCAATTTATATAATTTCAACAACAAAAAGCGCCCCCCAGCAGCTGAGCAGAAAGTTAATTTGTAGGATTGCTAAACCATTTGTGTACGTGCACTAAACTTAGACACAGGAATGAGCAGACCATGAATTGTTCTGTCAGTATAAACTAGCAAAGTTAACAGAATGTATGCATACAAGGAAGAGCATGCAAACATGTGCTTTGGGTCTGGCTGCATGTGTAACGCATTACAAAACCAGTCTTTCATTTTGTTTTGTTTTGTTCAGGAGCAGCTGTACCAGGAGGGGTGTTTGGAAGAGAGCAACAGTGTATATTGGTGGGGAGGGGAAAGTGCTCCATTATCAACCCAAGCCACTTTTCCACCTGCAGGGTCCTAAGGCTTGATGGGAGCAGTTGGGGGACCATTTGATGCAGAGCCAAGCAGTGGTGACTGAGGGGTACATAATCCTTGTATTTCCTGGTGCTTCACCACCAAGGCCTGTGCTACCTCAGGACTTTCTGAGGCAGTTGCTTCAGGTGGCACTTCAGGAGGGGCAGCAGATTTGCATCTGGGTGCCATGCTTGCAGAAGTGAGGACCTCTTCCTCCTCCCTGAAAGTGAACTGGATTTTTGTCCAACACCTGAGATCATCTTCTGAGGCCCTTCTTTGTGTGCCTTCTCCACAAGAGTTCTGGAGGGTGGCACCTGGCGCCGTCATTATACACCTTTAGGCACCAGGCAAAAACGTTCCTCTTTAAAGAGGCCTTTGGCTGATTCACATCCAATGCCCTTTTAAAATGGGGGTTATTGGTTTGTTTCTGTTTCTATTCTGATTATGTGTTTTGTAGTTTTATATTGTGATTTTATCCTGTAAACCACCCTGAGACCTGTGGGTATAGGGCTGTATCCAAATTCAAGAAATAGTAATAATAATTATAATGATGATGATGATGATGAATGTAGCAGTGTAGGTATTTCTCACCCCCCCCCCTCCACTCTAGTATTTCCCACTATGTGGACATCCTGATATGGTGATTCTAAAGTCAGGCTTAGGACATCCTCCCAGTGTTCAGACTCATCACTGTCTTCCTGCACTGCTTTAATTTTCTGTCTCTGAGTTTCCTTGACAGGGTTTGAAAATCAGTTGGGTTTAACTCTAGAAGGTTCAACTTAGATTTTAAACTTTGCATATTTTATTGTTGTAAGCCACTTGGTAATATAGATGGTGAAAAGCCCTGTATACATTTAAATAAATAAATCAGAAGACAGAGTTGGATAAATATCCATAAAAGTGGCATTAGGCCTACATGGGTGGTTTAAGGTAAGGTGACCATATTGCAGAACTGGAAAGGACTTTAAGGTCCACAACTAGGGATGTTGGGGTGGTGTGGCTGTGGCTTCCAGGATCTGGTGAGATCACACAGAAGCATTCCTTGGATTCTGCTAACTGATGTGGCTGCCTCAATCTGCTTCCTGGACAGGATGGCCCTGTCTATAACTATGCATAACTAACACCACATGACCCCATACACCTTCTAAACCTGTTTGGGGGGGTCCCCAAACTTCCTGAGTAGATTGAGGGGGCACCAGGGGGCACAGGAAGAAGAAATGAATACAAAATCTATTATTTTCTCTTCTTATTTCATATCCTCTTTATTCCCCTCCTCACAGGCCCAACAGAGAACATCTGCCTTACAATGTCATTCTAAAGGACTTGCATCTACATGGTTATAGGAATGTCCATCACTGCTCAAAACCTTAGTAATCAGGTATGGCGGCTCATGTTTTTTTCAAGATGATGACTGGTTCTTGAAAATACCGAGGGACTGTGTCTGAATCGCAATGCATTCCTTCCCTTCAAACTTTCTCTTCTGCTAGGTCAACTTTGCAAAACTCAACACTTCACAGTTAATGAAGCTGCTGAATGCTGCGATTAAAAATATTTTGCTTCTAGATAAAACTAACCCAGTCCCTAGAACGATGGAAAGTTTTGTTGCCCTGAGAACAGTCAACATTATCTCAACATTTCTAGCTTTTTCTGCTAACCTAGAAGTACAATGCACCAGAAAAAGAAAGTGTTAGTACTTATCTCTTCGAGTAGCAAAACTCATGTGAGCTTTAGAGAGACACGATCTTGTTAAGGCATTGTATACTAATTTCTAAGCAATCTTGAAATGATGGAATAATACCACATGAGACAACAATATATCACTGAACCATTTCAAAGATCTATGATATTTAAACCAAAATGCATGGGATCTTCCTAGGACTGCTTTCATAACACACTCTCTCTCTCTCTCTCTCTCTCTCCCCCCCACACACACAAATCTAAAAAGCATATTGTGGCAGATACAGCATTGGTAGCAATAAAGAAATACCCAGTTTTAACAACTAAAAGCCTAGTAAAGCATTTTAAAGGCCTTGGCCTGACACCAGCAGTGTTGCGTCATTTGCCTGCACATGCGTGCCAAATGGGGGTGGGGGTTGGAGGTGTAAACAGAATCCACTGAGCCTGCCCAGTCCTCACGGCTAATGCTACCAGGTGGGCGCACACAGGGTACAGGGGATTCACAGAGCCTGTGCACCAGCCCAGCCCTCACTACTCGAGCCATGCGGGACCATGTTATACCTCCTGCCTGCTCATGCAGGGAGGAGCCTGGCCTGCTCATGCAGCTCTTGGCAGGCAAATCTGTGAGTGGGTTGGGGATGTGGCAACGAGACCAGGCTGGGCTTTGGAGCCCAGAGATCCTTGGCAGCAGGCAGGGTGAAATGGGGATCCCTGTGTGGGGGCACCTGGTTCATGCCCCCTAAAAACGGTGCACCCAGGGCCACAGTCCCCCACACACCCATGCTACACCCCTGCCTGGCACCAAAAAGATATCAGTGTTCATATTAGGTGAGCCTCACAGGGAAAAGAAATCCATAAATAAGTCACCAGCACTGAGTAAGTCTTCTGATGACGATAATCTCTGTACATGAGCAGGTTTCCCTTGCAGAACTTTTGTTCCTAACTATGTACAGTGGTACCTTGGGTTAAGAACTTAATTCGTTCTGGACGTCCATTCTTAACCTGAAATTGTTCTTAACCTGAGGTACCACTTTAGCTAATGGGGCCTCCTGTTGCAGCTGTGTGATTTCTGTTCTCATCCTGAAGCAAAGTTCTTAACCCGAGGTACTATTTCTGGGTTAGCGGAGTCTGTAACCTGAAGCGTCTGTAACCTGAAGCGTCTGTAACCCGAGGTACCACTGTAAACTAGAGCTTTAAGAAGGTAGCACCACCAGCACTTTGAGATAAGTTCAGAAATAGTCTGGTCACCAATGTGGTGGTGGTGGTTGATAATGTATAATTAGGTAAAGGGGCCCCTGGCCATTAGGTCCAGTCGTGGCCGACTCTGGGGTTGCGGCGCTCATCTCACTTTATTGGCCGAGGGAGCCGGCATACAGCTTCCGGGTCATGTGGCCAGCATGACTGAGCCGCTTCTGGCGAACCAGCGCAGCGCACGGAAACACCATTTACCTTCCCGCCGGAGCGGTACCTATTTATCTACTGTATTTTTCGCTCCATAGGGCGCACCTGACCATAGGGCGCACCTAGTTTTTAGAGGAGGAAAACATGAAAAAAAATATTCTGAATCAAATGTTGTACTAAACTATTTAAAGCAGCAAAGCGGGTGGCTCCTGTCCGCTTTGCTGCTTTAAAGTGAGCCTCAGAGGAGGGAAGGAAACCATGGGGAAACCATGGCTTATCTAAGTCCAGTTAATAATGCTGAGCCTGATTTTATATGCATCTCAAAGCCCTTGACATATATACATTATAATGACAAGCCGAGATAGGCCTCTTGCATAGGAGGAGGGGAGGAGAAGAGAAGAGAGGGAGCCATCATAGCTCAATGGGGAGAGCATGGAAAAGATCCCAAGTTCAGTCCTTGAAAGCTTCTCCGGGTAGGGCTGAAACCCAGGTGAGCCTCTGCCCATCAGTGAAGACAAAACTGAGCTCAATGGGCTCAGGGGTCTTGACGTGGTACAGGGAAGGTCCCTCTGTTCCTGTTTAAATTAGCCCTTTCTTCAGAACCATGGGGACTACAATCTTAGTTTGTTTTTTAAAGGGAACAGCTGTAACCTCAGTGGCTTTGCATGCAGAACACCACACGTTCAATCCCCGGCTTCTCCAGGCCTGAAACTCTGGCAAACTGCTACCAGTCAGTGTTGACATTACTAAGCTAGATGGAGTAGTGGATCCAACTCCTTATAAGGCAGCTTCCTAGGTTCCCATTTATGCTTCAGATCTGGGCGTGAGGCCTGCTGTCACTTTTAGTGTCAAGAGGGTGGTTCTTTGCACATCTGGAAGATGACTGTGTCACCTCCCATCACCCTATTGAAGGTGCTTTTACAGCTCAGGGGAAAGGGCAGGCAGACACAGCATCTGTAAACTGTAGCATCCTGAATTAAGGGAGGGAGGGGAAAGAGCTGATCTTCAGCTTGAAACCAGGACTTGCTCTTTAACCATGCTGCTCCTCCAGCTGCCAATGCCATCCATGTAACCTGTGTGAATATCAAGTGTGGGTTGTGTCCAGGAACCTGGGAGGATTTCTTTCACATGAGTGCATGTTTTTGTCTTTAAATAAACAGCCCATGCAAGTTTCCAGCTCTTATGGCCATGCCTGGCTGTCTCAGTGGAAATCTGAGGAGGCTGAGGTGGACTTTCCAGTGGTCAAAGTCTTCCTGACCGGCATCTATTTCCTGCCCTCTTTCCCCACTGAACTCCCGCACCATGCTTCAAAGCAAGCTACGGAGGGGATTCCCTCTGCTTTGAAGCAGGAAAGTGGAAGAGGAGCTGCTTACACGAGTGTAAGCTGCTCCCCTCCCACTTTCCTGCTTCAAAAGGAGCCCGGGAGGAGGGAATCCACTGTAGCCTAGAGCAGCGAGGAGGATCCATGGGTCCCTCCTTTCCTCCTCCGTGGTTGCTTTGAAGCAGGAAAGTGGGAGAGGAGCTGCTTACACGAGTGTAAGCTGCTCCCCTCCCACTTTGCTGCTTCAATGCAGCCTCGAGCAGCGAGAATCCATGGGTCCCCTTCCTTCCCTCCTTCGTGGTTGCTCTGAAGCAGGAAAGTGGGAGAGGAGCTGCTTACACGAGCTGCTCCCTTCCCACTTTCCTGCTTCAAAGGGAGCCCGGGAGGAGGGAATCCACTGCAGCCTCGAGCAGCGAGGAGGATCCATGGGTCCCTCCTTCCCTCCTCCGTGGTTGCTTTGAAGCAGGAAAGTGGGAGAGGAGCTGCTTACACGAGTGTAAGCTGCTCCCCTCCCACTTTCCTGCTTCAAAGCGAGCCACGGAGGAGGGAGGAACCAACGGAATCCCCTTCCCTCTCTCCTCCCCGGCTCAGCTCAGCAGCCGCGGCTCTTGCTGGCTTTACAATGAGCCGGAAGGAGGGACAGACGGCAGTCCCTCCTCCCGCTTCCCTGTAAACCCAGCCAGAGCCGCAGACGCACTCTACGCAGCTCTTGCTTTAAAGGGAGAGCTGCGCAGAGCTTGTCGGCAGCAGCGGCTTTTGCTGGCTTCGCTCCATAAGACGCACAGACATTTCCCCTTACTTTTTAAGGGGGGAAAAGTGCGTCCAATGGAGCGAAAAATACGGTACTTGCACTTTGATGTGCTTTCGAACTGCTAGGTTGGCAGGAGCAGGGACCGAGCAACGGGAGCTCACCCTGTCGCGGGGATTCGAACCGCTGACCTTCTGATCAGCAAGCTCTAGGCTCTGTGGTTTAACTCACAGTGCCACCTGCTTAATCCCTTAATCCACGCATAGGCAAACTCCAGCCCTCCAGATGTTTGGGACTACAATTCCCATCACCCCTGACCACTGGTCCTGTTAGTTAGGGATGATGGGAACTGTAGTCCCAAACAGCTGGAGGGCCAGAGTTTGCCTATGCCTGCCTTAATCCCTGTCAAAAAAAACCATTGAAGCTGCATTTTGAACTAGCTGAAGTTTTCAAAAGAATGTTCAAAGGCAGCCCAATTTGCAGAAAAGCACTAAAGGCTGCTCCATGCAGCAGCAGGCTGGAGTTGAAAGCTTTCCCCGTTTCATCAAAGCAACTCATTTGACAGAGAGAGCAGCTGCACCAAGACACAAGTGGCTGTCCTCCCTCATAAAACAATAGGGGAGAGAGGTCAGAGAGGTCACATCTCTCTCTCCTTATCCCTTTACTGCTTTAGAGGAAATACCATAACTTTCCTTTTATGCCACCACCTTCCTTTGCCAAAGTGGAGGAGGCAATGACAGAGACACCGGGAATCATTTCTGGTAGAACTATTAATGCAGAACGTACTTACCCCACATCCAAATCCAAAAGTAGAGCACTCAGTTACTGTGCCTGGAGCTGGCACAAGCAAGATATAACCCAAGAGAGGTGCCAGTATGTATTATTCCTATGGCTGTAATGGAAATTATACAACTGCTTCTGTTGGCTGGATGTATTTTGTCTAACTCTGTTCACAGCAGGTTTAAATGACATGGTAGTTAATGCATTAGAGGCTGCTGGCAGATTCTCTGCACAAGTATACCCATCATAGCTATAAATAGCTTTAGTGCTTAGATGACACTGAGACACTGAAAAGGCTTAGTTCAAGTGAAAAAAATCAAGCCTTAGGTGAATCACAATGAACCATGTTACCCCAATCAACACCACATGCATCAAGTAAATGCCCATTAAGAATAGATATCCCTTTGTTCATAGGGACAGCCTAGAAAACAAATGTGTGAATGCAGTTAACATACCTGGAGGGTTTTTTGGGGGGTGTCATGTTAGGAGAAGCTTGAGGAGCTGAGGGACAATGGGAGTGGAAAGCAAAGAAGTTGACTCTTTCACTCCATGCCAAAGTCCCAACAAAAATCACAGAAGCTGCAACTTGCCTTTCAAGGGAGAGTTGTTTAGATATATTTATTGGAACTGATGGGAACTTCCCTTGAAATGCTTTAAAAACATGACAAGCAATTAATATCACATCCATTTTGGCCCACAGGTGCAGGTGAACACTGAAAATGAGTCATATTCACCTGCACTTTCTAATTCTAGCACTGTTGAGCACGCTAAAGTAACAGTATACAAGCCCCATGAAGCAGCCAATGGATGAGATGTGAACCACTGACCACTACAAAAAATAAAAAGACAACATGCATCTGTCCCTGATATGCCTGCTGCATCCACAAACGAAGCATACCAGACCAGCTTTGTATGTGCAGTAAAACTCCAAAATTAACCAAACAGTATGTGACAGGCAATTAAGTCACACACAAACATAGATATATATTAGTCTGAGTATCTGAAATTTGGATTTTAATATTATCCCTGAATATGCAAAATTCATTCAGTGAATTGCTTTCCACATGCTACTGGGTTTATTTTGGAGTTTTGCTTCTCAGAAAATAAGTATGCGTAGATTTTTTTAAAAAACCACAAATTATCCAAGCTTTGCAAGATGAGGATGAGTTCTTGAGTATGTTGAACCACCACAATGGTAAAACTGATTGCTTCTGTTATTTATTTTATTTTTACACAGAGATAAAGGCCACAGAATCCATCACCATAAATCATGTTGGGGAAAAAGCCGGTGACAGCACAGAAACGAGGGGAGACCAGAGCACTCTGCCTGGGCTTAGGAATGGTAGCATGCTCAGTGATAATGTATTTCTTTATCGGAATCACCATTGTACCCTTATACAATAAAAGGTAACTAGACTTCTTGAGCAGGCATGTATGTGGTTTCCTCCTTCAGCATTCGGGACTATCCCAACATGTGGAATGCATTCTGGGTCTCAGTGTCACAGCCTGGTCCAGTCCATTTGGAATATTAAATTTTGTGATCTAGGCCTGATTTAAACATTGACAGTAATAAAATTTGCAGTCTTGAAGATTGAGCCAGTGCTTCTCTCCACGTGAAACAATGTATGTTGTGTGTGGAACATGCCACACAAAGACGAGCACTCTGCAATTTCCATTATTCTTTCCTCTGAAATTGAGGAAGAGAAACCACACAAACATGTTTCCAAATGTCCATATCACACACTTCTTGTTGCGGAAGCGAACAATGTGTTCCCCACAAATGCATGGCTGGCTGAATTAAGTACATCAGCCTAACCATAGATAATTCTGGACATTAATGTGTTCTAAGAACGGAAATTCTATTTCACTTAGGAAGCACTTAAGGCAGAATGTTCATTAACTATCCATTCATAACAGACCTTCATTGCTAAATATGCCTAATCAAATTTCTGTCTACAGAGTTAACTTGGAATTGCTTAAATGGCAGGCGCTTTAGCTTCTGGAGCAAGGAAATACGCTTATCCTTGCTGTCATGGCTCAGATCAGAACCGTCATGGTGTTCCCCATTGTGACAGTGATAACGTTTCAAGCTGGCCACAGTTAACTAACAAATAGTGGGCACAGCCAGTGAGGTGAACTGTGCATATTTTGAGAAAGGAATTAGCTTATCTTAAATTTACCCTGGCACTGTCATTTCATATACCATGCACACCCACCCTCTTTTTCAAACAGTAAAGCTATTTGTGCAAATTCCACCAGAACTTAGAGTAGCATCTGTTTTGGGGAGGTAAGGGAATACTGCTATAATAAAAACTTTATTTAACAACAGCCAGATTTTAGGAGGGGAGGGCAGAGGAGACTAATACCAGAAACCAAACAATCAGGGATGAATGTATGTATATTAGATTTTTCCAACTCTGCCAGTAACATATGGTTATAAAAAGGCAAGTTGGGATGCAAGTGATATTGTGGTATACACCACCGAGCCTCTTGGGCTTGCCGATCAGAAGGTTGGCAGTTCGAATCCACAGGATGGAGTGAGCTCCCGTTGATCTGCCCTAGCTTCTGCCAACCTAGCAATTCAAAAGCACACCAGTGCAAGTAGATAAATAGGTACCGCTGCAACAGGAAGGTATATGGTGTTTCTGTGCGCTCTGGCAATCATCATGGTGTCCAGAAGCAGTTTAGTTATGCTGGCCACATGACCTGGAAAGCTGTCTGTGGACAAACTCAGGCTCCCTCAGCCTGCAAAGTGAGATGAGCGCTGCACCCCATAGTCGCCGTTCATTGGACTTAACTGTCTGGGGGTCCTTTACCTTTACCTTTGTTTTAGCAGAAGGCAGCAAAGAAATGTGCAGCAACCACATTTGTTAAGGGGTATTTCCTCCCCATACTCTTTTCTCAATGCCTGCCCACGAGCCCCAAGATAACCCCTTGCATTTGCACCTTGACAAACCTTTGCATCCTCTATGTATGTGAGGCGTATGTACATGAGGTGTAGCTAGTAGCATTTTCATTGTTCAGCTTCTGCCATATGCTAGAGACACACCTCTTTACCTTGGGCTCTTGACAGTTAAGGTGTTTCATTTTCTGGGACCCATCTTTTTGACTGAATTTATATTCTGTTCCACCTGGAACAGTTTTATGTATATTCTCATTGTAATGGTTTTATTTGTTTTCTAATCGTATATTCTATTGCTGCAACCTGCCCTGGAGCCATATAGTGAAGGCCAGACAAGAAACCTTATTTAAATAAATAAATGTAAGATATAGACTACTCCCAGTTTGTTATCAGTTGACAACAGTCATATATAGAATTGAGGATGCAAAGGTTCATTAACAGGCACCTGAATATCATACACCACAATTTACACACTGCTGTAACACAGTTGTAAATTGAACCTCGTCTCAAAAGTAGTTGTATTGAATGAAGATAATTTCTATATTTCAAAATATAATTTATTAGATAAATCAGTGGTTCACAAAGGGTGTGGTGCGCTATACTGGTGTGGCAGGAGAGGATGGCAAGTGAGGCAGGAAGATTCAAGGACAATATAAAAAAAATGAAATATTATAGTAGCAAAATAATATTTTTTTATATACAGCCATGCCTCTCTTCAAGAGCACTGGCTATTCTTCTACAGTCCTCCATGACATATTATTGTGAACAGGGATTTTCAACTCTGACAAATATGAAAGAACAGAAAAGAAGAAAGACTTCTTTGTGTTTATGAGGATATGAGATTTTGTCTCAAATCAGACCTAATATAAATAAGATTGCCCGGCAAAAGCAAGCTCACATGTCTCACTGAGTTTGTATACATACTTAAGATACATATTTAAAATGCCTGCTTATAATTATATTTTGGTAATGATCCATGTTCTCATGCAGCTGCATTGTTTTATATTTTCTGGATGTCCCATGATCATATTATAAAGTTGCTGTGTTCTATGTTATAAATCAAGCACTGCTAGAAGTTGTTTATTTTCCCCCAATGTATTTTTTATCAATTAAAAATTCGGTGTGGCATGAGGAAATTTTTATTCTGAAACTGTGGCCCAGAGAAAAAAAGCTTGAGAATCACTGAGAAAAATGTCTAAATTACATACTTTGCCATAGAATTCATCAACATAATTCATTAAACTTCAGTTTCTTAACAATACCGCTTGCTGCATAATTTGAAAAAGTGACATTTTAAAATATTTGCCGGAGTTCAGCCTGAAATGCTATGGAAATAAATGAAGTAGTTGAATATTTAAGTAGTACTGGGCTGAAGTACATGGCTATAACTCTGGAAAGCTGTGATATGTGGTACTGCATTTAAAAGCAGGAGGGGGGTCTTATTTGTTTTTACAGTGTCTGGACCAATAAAGGTATATGTGAACTGAAAAATGCCAGCATCAAGGAACAGCAGCACTGTTCATTCAATGATGGCTCCAGTGATGAAAATAAGTTTCAATATCCTTGTCTGCACATCATGGTCAATTTGACACCTGTCGGGCAGGTGGTAAAGCTTTATCACCAGGAGGAGACCGTGTTCAGAAACCCCAAGGTTTGAGTTATATTCATAAGAAATCTTGATACTAAATCTACATACCAATGTCAAAATCCAGATATTCTCCAATGCACATATAGATAACATAAGCATAATGCCATTGCTCCTGGTCACACAGAAGTAAAAGATTTCCCCAAGGAAATCTGACTCTGATACAGTTTCCTAACCCTGAGCCAGGTGACGCTAGATGTGAGATGTAAACAGATTCAAACAAAAATTTATCTATCCCTGCTTCCGCAGGCAAAAAGTAGCATTTTGGCCAAGAGCCTCTCTTCTACCACATTATACAATCCTTTAATTATGCAGAATTTATAAACTATGGTCAGGGATGGCAAAATCTGCCATATCCCAAGGCTACGCTGGACAATCCACATGCATTACTTGCTCACTCAATGTGTGTGTGTGTGTGTGTGTGTGTGTGTGTGTGTGTGTGTGTAGCCTAAATGACAATTGTGCTGATTCTGAAGATATGTGGCCAGTACGTTTTTTCTTTAAAAAAAAAAAATGTTTAGAGGTACTCTCATTTTGACTCAAGAAAATCACCATTTTATACTTCAAATCAGGAAAAATAAATACAGTAAATGGACAAAAGTACAAAGATTCACAAAATGTTTAGGAGTATGCGTACCTCTGCGTCTCTCCCAGAAAAAAAGCACTGTATGTGGCCAATACATTGGTCCAGAGGCTTTTAAACATTACATTGGCTGCATGGATTGCCTGCATGCTTCTGGCCATAGCCACTATTATAGGGATGAGAGAGAAATTCTCTGCAGTTCACATTTAAAGGTGAACCTACCTAATTTGCACTTTCAGAAATAAAAGATAATCCGAAAAACAGCCATCTTTAAAAATTTGTACTTTTCCAAAATTCGCAGTGCATTTCTCCAGCCAAGTAATGTACACAAAATACTGGGGTATAGTGACCATTAAATGCATATATTACTGAAAGCAACTTACAAAAAATGCATTATTTTAGGGCAAATTGCATACATTTTTTTAAATTGTACTGTAAATTACTTTGAGATATCTCATAGCACACAATTCATAAAATAGCAGTGCAAACATGTATATCTTAACAAAAATTCTCATTAGAGGACTGCTAAATTGTCATGAGGAATTGCAAACTGATGCTGAAAAACAGAGATATGATCTTAAGCCTGCAAAGATGAGAAACAGATAAATGGAAATTGATAGATTTGCCCATTCGGACCCCTGGGTCAGATTTGTCTCCAGCTTTGGAAGTTTCATATTCCTGAATACTTTCACTTGGAATGGAAATCAAATATCAGAATCAATCTGCAGTTCTTGCAGAGATATTGGTCTAAAATTCAACAAGACATTAAAAAAATACTAAAATAACAACAACCACCATTTAAAAACATTTTGGCTTTTTGTAATTGTGCAGTGAATGTTTAAATAATTCATTCACACATGAATTATGGATAATTAAAAACACATATCTGACCCATGTCAGAAAAAAACCTGATATAACTCCTAAATCATAGGACCTAAGAAGCGGAGTGTGGGGGGGTATTTTTTGCTCTTAAAAACAAAGCATTACTGACATTCTAAAACTCACAATTCCTGTTGGAATCAAATGGACCCCATCTGAAAGGTTCTCAGAGTGTCAGAATAGCAAAGCAAAACTGAAGAAAATTGCTCATTCCTACAATATATCCAAACAACTTCAGTTTGAGTCATATAAGAGAAGCCATAAAACCTTTTCCAAATAGGGAATTACTATTTTAAACAGAATTATTTTGTACATTCACTTGTTTGCTTTTAGCTGCATTTGTTATTAGTTTCAGTGTCTTACAGTAATTCATAGTCTAGCAGGAAATAATCCTATTTACATTGCATATCTAAAATTCCCTAGACAAATTAACAATATGGGAAATTTCCCTAATGGAAAGCTCAACTTGTGCTTCAAGGCCATCAATAGTTGCTCACGAATTTTGTCTCAGGCACACAAGGACATTTAGAAAGAAATATGATTGCACAGAAATACTTGCTCATATTAGAATTACATCTTTGAAGTAAGTGATTTATAGTTCTCTATTACATTGTTGGTGCTGTTGGTTCTACTTTTCAGTTTAACATACAGGAGAGAGCTTTTTTTAATATATACATAAAATAAAATGCTACAGTGAGCAGTTAATTGATCTTAAATTGTGCGGCTAAACTAGAAGTGCTATATATTTCTCCATTTCTAATATATAATCAAGAAAAATTAGATAAATTGTAAATTTCTTATTATAATAAAATTTCTGATTGTCTTACACAAGGAAACAGGTTTGCTCCAACTGTCAAAAGTTTCATAATTCTTCCTCCCCTTCTATGTGACTGAGCTCTGTTAGTAGGGGTGGGTAACATGGAAGGGCAGTGCCACAGAGCTACTGTCCCAACAGCAGGGCAATGGTGAGGTTAGGTCTATGGGAGAACTATCCAGGTAAGCAGCAGTGATGCCACTCTCAGTAGGGTGGCCTATGCCAACACCCACCCATACTAGTTACTCTTGTCTAATAGTCATTTATTTTGTATTTCCCCCCAAGTCCTCAAAACATTTCACAAGGATTTAATAATCCTTACAATAACGCTGAAATGTAGGCCATTGTTATAACTCCCAGCAGATCATTCTGTTCTCAGATACTCTGTATTAGACATCAATAAAGGGGTAAATTCTGTGTATTTAACTATGGTGAAATACTGAAAGTGCAATCCAGAGAGTCCTTGATACACTTTTGCACTACAAAATGTGGTGGTTATGATTCTCAGTGACACCTTCTTTCACACACCTATCCTAAAGGCATCACTGGCTGCCTTTGATGTCAAGCAGAGTTAAGTTTTTGTTGCTACCTTATAAGGCACTGAACAGTTTAGGACCAGGTTGTCCAAGAGAGCAGCTCCTTCCATAGAATCCAGCCCATTGCCTGAGATCAGGGGACACCAACCCTTCCACTTCGTTTCAAAAGAGCTTAGGTAAAATTCTGAGGGAAGCTTTTGGAAGTTCACCTCTCTATATACAAAAGTAATGATAATACATATATTAATGATCTAGTTAACAGCTGGCACTTATTGCCAGAAAGCAATATTGGTAAGCATACTGCTTTTCCTGTTACTGAGTAATTATGATTAACTGGTTTCCTGGGGTTTGTTTTGTTTCTGCAGTGCTCCTACATCCCCCCGACTCTGAAGAATTATACTGCAGTGCAAGAGAATGTAGAAAAAGTAAGACAAAATTTCACAGAAGCCAAGGTGTTTTATTGTTATTATGACCCATCAGGACAAGAAGCCACGGTCCTTTTATACAGACAATATCTTCCAGAGTTCCTTTTGTTCACTTTTGTCTGGCCAAGTCTAATGTTGATTGGTGGAGTCCTGATTATTGTCCTGGTGAAAATAAGTCAGTATTTTTCTATACTCTTAGCTCCACAGTACAGAACAGGTATATAGAATGTCCCAATGTTTGCCTGTATCATACTTTCACATCTATATCCAAGACAAGCTGTGAACAATTTCTGAAGTTTATTCACTGCGAAGTAACAAGGCAGGAAGCTTAAAGGAGACACGGATAAGATTCAGAGCTGGAGGCCATCCAAATGAGACACATTACTGTACTGCTTTTGATCAGATAAAACTTGCAGAGTCAGCTTTTGTTCATATTTCAAGTTCTGAATTGTTCCATGATCAAAAAGCTGGGCAAGGAAATTGGCTATATTCTCACATACACTACTGTTGAAACTGTGGGTACACAGAACATTTTACAGATTGAAAACACCAGTTATTCTGGGCCAACTTAGCACAGACTTCCATGTAAGCATAGGCACAAGTCCTTCATTGTACACTATGAGGGCTAGATTTTAAAATTAATTAATATGACAAAAAGAAAGAAAGAAGCTATTTAACATAATGTGGAAAAATGGAAGAACATTCATGTCCTGTGGAAAATGGAAGAACATTCATGTCCTGCCATCTATCTGCTCCTCCTCCCCAAAGAAAACCAAATGAATGTTATATTGTCAGGATGCGACATTTGCAACCGAAATTATTCAACACCCATTGCAAATCAGGTTTATTATCAAAATTTACAGATTTTCACCCCCAAAAAATTCAGCAATGAAGATTTCTGCAATGATCAAATCAAACAAAAGTCATTGAAATAGTGCAGCACAATGGATGCTTCGAGTGATTTCCCCAAATTCAGTTGAAATTGCAACTTCACCAGCTTTGAAAGCAAGCGCTACAAGCAACTCAATGTACTGGTAAATTACCACAATGCACTGTTGCAGCTGTTGTCATTACCTGTGCATTAAGCTAATGTTTAAAGCTTCATTGCTCACTGAAGTGTTCACCTAAATCCATAACAAGCATATACATGGAGCTGTCTTAATAGCAGAGTCTGAGTACCAGGCCAAAGGCAACCTTGGCAAAGACATAATGGAAAGCAAGGCTATTAGTGGGGGACTCTTCCAGCATTACTGGGAAATCCTTATTTTTCCAGGGTTTCAGATCATACAGTCATGGTTGGTTGATAGGCATCCATCTGTCTCAGAAGACAGTGGAAGAGTACACCTTTGGAGGTGAAGTCAAACTTTTGGAGACTTACAGCACCTGCTATGACTGTACTGACTGAAATGGAAGATACCCATTTTGTGCAGTTGGGGAAGATGAAGGCCTCTGGTTTGCTGCTGCAGATGCACCATGATGTTTCTTCTTTCTGTGTTCCTCCCAGCAGTCATTCCTCCTCTGGTCACTGCTGTGGATACATGACCTGACTGACTGTCTCCTGGCACTGCAGCCGTATGCAAGGGATTCCCACACAGGAGGGTTAATGTTGCCAGCCTTCGTGTCACATTTGCAGACAACTTTGTAACACAGAGCTGGTCTACCAAAGGTCCAGGTGCCTGAAACCAGCTCCCCATAATGCATGCCCTTGAAGATCTTCCATTCTGTGGACATTACCAAGCTAGCACAGATTTTGCTGATACAGGAGTGCAAACATGCTGGGAATGTGGGCTTGGGAGAGCACATCTTTGTTTGAGATTCTTTCCTGCCATGTAAAGCCCCAAATCTTCCTCACACAGTGCTTATGGGAGGCATTGAGGTGTTACTCCTGGTGGGTGTAAGTTATCCACGTCTCAGTTCCGTAAAGCATTGTGCTCAACACACAGGTCTTGTAGCCCTTTATCTTGCTATTGGTTGTTAGCATTGCATTCTTCCGTAAGCTTTTGGAGAGGCTGATTCATATACACAAATATTCAACACAGCCAGAGAGCCATTTAATTCAATGTACATAGACTGGGGACAGGACCTGCAACCATACTGTGCAGGAGTGGAGTGAAGAATTTTTTTAAATGGCGAAATAATGTGAAAATGTGGAGAGCTGGACTTAATATAGGAAGAATGAAAAATCAAGGGAAACAAAAATTGACATATTTACCCGTCCTTCACCATACCTCAGTGATAGAGCACATGAGGTGGTTGGTGGTTAGAGTAATTCAGATCTCATTTTTAATTCTATAAGAAGGGTTTTTTTAAAGCAGCAAATACAGCACAACACAAAATCCACACATGGATTCCCCCTATTACAAAAGACTTTCAAGTTTTCTAGCTTCAACCTATTATGATTAAGTGAATAAAATTAAAGAACAAAATTACAATCCACAAGGTGTCAAATACTTCTAGATTCACAGTTGCTGAATTAACTGGCTGTTCTTTAAGCAGTTGTGGGGGCTCTTAATAACCCTGGGCTCAACTACAGCTCAGGTATTTGATCTTCTTTCTGCTTGGCCCCATGCAGTGCCAAGAAAATTGCCTGTCATAGCACTGGCCTCTGCAGATGGAATTCTCTCTGTGTTTATTACTGCCTATTGAGCAATGCAAATCAAAACAGCACACCATTCATGTTTAGTTACACAGGTTAGTACTCATAATGCTTATGCAATTAGCATTTGGAAAGAAAGCTATAGCCTCAAAGGAGTTGCTGCTTTCCCCAAATATGATCAGAGCAACACCATCACCTCCCTGTTCCTCTAAGCAACTTACACTTCTGTGGTTTTATTTTGGTGTTTCACAGTTGAGTGCAAAAGGTGTCAAGAAATTGAAGAACATTATTTCACAGCTCCCATGTGTGTGGGGAAAAATCTGCACGTTTAATGGTTAAAGCCAAATAAGGGGTCTGCTTCAAAAAGTGACAAATTTCACACCATTTCCTGCATGCAAGAGATTCTCATGTAGAGAAAATACATGCATAGATTTATTGTATGCGACCACCATATATTATTTTAGTAATGTATGCAGTCAACCAATAAAACCGTGTGATCATTACATACAGCAATACACACAGCCTCCACACCAATTCCTACATTTGTATGTATTTATTTTTGTTTAATGTCACCACTCATCTAAATAGATCTGGATGGAAATTGAGTCAGGTATTAAGACAGGAGTCTAAAATTGCTCTTGACTCCAATCTCCTCTGGGTGGTCAATGTAACCAAGGGATGAAGTGCCAAGGTGGCATATGATTTTTTTAAAATTATGAATGAAATTGATACCTTAAAAACAGATGAACCATGAAAACAGATTAATATCAATAGATTCATTGCAAATCACTAAACATATCTGCCTAATATAGAACTAGCATACCTCCCACCATTTATTAGATGGAAATTGGGACATGCTCACAGTGTCATACCAAGGTTCACAGCCCAAGCTGCCATTCTACAATTACATATTGGTTAAGACTAAGCTCTGTCTGCTGTATTCATCAACCCCGCAAGAACTTGCTCTGTACTCTTTTTAAAACCAGTGTGTTTTTCTCTTTTTATTAAAGATAACCATTTTTAAAATATAGCTGTCCTATAATCTGCTTTAAACAGTTGGAAATGAGCTTCATCAGCATGCGAAGTGGCAAGCAGTGAACCAGGTATATGGGCAGGCTGTTTGGACCAGTGAAACCGACCACCTGTCTCCTTGATCCTTGCCCATCCTGGCTCCTAAAAGCGAGCTGGGAAGGGTTGGGCGATGAGCTCCGCAGGATGGTGAATGACTCCCTCTGTGAGGGAGTCTTCTTAGACTGGCTTAAAGAAGTGGTTATTAAACTGCTTCTTAAAAAAATGTATTTGGACCCGGCCAAAGCGTATTCACTCCCATCATTCAGTCCAGACACTGAGGTCCTCCTCAGAGGGACTTCTGCTGGTTCTCTCATTGAAAGAAGCAAGGTTACAGCGATTCAGGCAGAGGGCCTTCTTGGTAGTGGCACCCTCCCTGTGGAACACCTTCTCTTCAGATGTCAAGGAAATAAACAACTATCTGATTTTTAGAAGACATCTGAAAGCAGCCCTGTATTGGGAAGTTTTTAATGTTTGATGCTTTAGTACGTTCTGATATATGCTGTGAGCCCCCCAGAGTGGCTGGTGAAACCCAGCCAGATGGGTGGGGTATAAATAATAAAATTATTAATTGTTGTTGTGTTAATCTCTCTACAGCAACACTGAATAAAAGATTCATCTTCATTACTGGAGACTAGCAACTCATATTAATAACTTTTTAATCATTACGAACTCCACAAGGGCACACCTTTATTAGGGCAACCAAAATGTCACAAAACAGTAAAGAAGCTTGGCATGAAAGCCATAAAGAAAGGGAGTGGGAATGATTGATGGGACCTGAGACCATGTACCAAGTTTTTTCTGCCCCTCCCTTCATCCTTGCCAGAGGCTAGAGTGGAGAGGACGGCACTGGCAAGAGGTAGGCAAGGTAATAGACTTGGCTCTCCTAGATGCTATGCAGGTTTCGGGTGACACTTGGGGATTCTGGGTTGAAGAAATACAGGGATTTTACAAGGAACAAGACAGAGGGCTTTCTCAATAGTGGCACCCTTCCTGTAGAGATGCAGGTAAGCATTTACTGTATGTTGCTCTAGCCTCCTCATAAAGAAAAGGCAGCATATAAAATGCAGCTAATAGATATAATAAAACTAGCTTCAAAATCCACCCTTCACCATGATGATCTTAGGCAAGTCACTCACTTTCAGCCCAATAATCATGTATAAAATAGCCATAAGAAGCAAGGCCTTTAGTACCACAGACAGTATCTAAAGTTTAATATCCATCGGGTGGCCTAGAGCTGGGAAATGTTTACCCATAGTCTGAAAAGAGAAGAAACCATAAACAAATGAAAAAATATCCTTAGTCCTATTGCCATGAAGCAGATTATTTTCAAATTAAATTAAATTGCAAACAAAATGCATGTCTTTGGCTGTATTCAAAGTACAAAAAGTACAAAAAGTAATAAAGTAATAGAGGCCCCAAACCAAAAATGTTCAAAGGCATGAAAGAAAAAGTCAATTAAAAATATTAGATAGAACCTCCAGGAAGCAGATGAGAAGAAAATGACTTTCTATAATGCCGCTTTCCTCTCCTTCCCACTCCCTCAATCCTACAAAAGGTG